CCCCAAAACCCCAAAACCCCAAAATATCAAAAATAGTCTTGATAATTTTATAATAAATAAATTAAAAAAGAGTTTCATCTAAATGAGAACTTTATTTAAATTTAACACTTATTAAGTTGCAATTAAAACTGATAAATTATTTTAATTAATTCCTAATCTGTTCGCTGACCTTATCATTGCTTTTTCTATTACTCTGGTAATTTCACCACATCACAGACATTATATTCTGCTTATCTAATTACTGATGACCTCAATAGCAACCATTCCTATTGTTCTTAGCTCTCCTCATTGAAATCGACTAATTATGAGGAATTGTCTGACTCAATTTGATCAACATGAAGATACTTATTGAGCACCTCTCCTAAATTTTATAAAAACGACAATTTGTCTTAGCTTTCGTTGCTCTCTTTAGAATTTTCTTAATTCTGGTATTGAATTTCACGATTTTCAAAGCTAACTGGTTCATTTTATTGACAAAGATTCTAATTGGTAAACTAAGTATTTTACGATGCCAAATTTGAGATATTTTCTATAATTGATTTTTCCTCTGAATTGAAATCTTTTACTTCGACTTTAAAAGATAGAGAGCTAGCACTTTTATTAGATTCTTAATTTTCCTCAATCTAAGCATTATTTTTATCGAATAAATCCTGAGGATTCTTGCTTTCTTCTATTAAAACTTATTGACTTTCGCTTAATTATTGAGAAAGTTTTTATTCGTCTAATTTGGATAATAAATCAAGATTCTTCTATTTCTATATATTGATCTCATTTTTAAGCAATTTGTTCTCTTCTTCCAATTCCTTTATCCTTAAATTTTTCTTTCAAAGATCTGATATCATTTTTTCCTAGGAATTTATTTTTTAACAAGACAGATCTTTTAGTCTTGTAATTTCATTAATGTATACTTTAACTTTCTCAAATAATTTTATTGCTTGTTAATCTAGAAATTTCTTGGATACCACTGCTAATTTAGCCTAAATATTTATATCTTCACTATCAATATCAAATAATTAGCTATTTTCAGCTACTTAAATATGAGATACTATTTTGGGATCATTACAAAGTGCTTAAACTTGTGTTTGCTTAGCTATTTAAAATTTTTTAGTATTATTTTTACTTGAATCTTTATTATCATTACATAATCGTATTTTATTATTCAAAGCAGAGTTTATCTATACATTATTTATTTATTAATGATTTGTATTTAGAGCATTAGAGTTTTCTTGTTAAACAGTATTTTGAATTAATGTCAATGTTTACTCAGTAAGATTTTCAGAGATAGAATCATTTTAGGTCTATTGACTCTGTTAGGCTGGTAGTACTATATTTTTTTGTTCAATATTGGTTTAATTAACTTGATTTTATATTGGAGGATAATTGTCGATATCACCATGACATCTGATTATTATAGGCCAAATTTTACTTTCATTCTTATTATTTATTAGTTAATTAAGTATCTTAATTGCCTTAAAAATATCGTCAATCAATCCAATTTTATTCTCAGATCAGATTTTTTAAATTGCAAAAATATCACTATTCCAATAGAAATAAATAAAGTCTAAATCCAATGAAAATTTTATAGATTCATTGACTGTAAATTCATGATTACTCTGATATTTCCATTATAACTATTAAATTGCTCTTTCGTTAAATGGCTGCTTATTGATTTCATTATATCGTTTTTAACTACAGCTTTAAGATAGTTTTTTTAATAAATGTTCTTATATGACAAGATCTTATTATATTTGCTGATCAAAACTTGGTTTTGTATCACTCAGCTAATTTTCAGGAAAATCTGTGAATCTTTGCATAAACGATTTTTGAAATTCTATAAATTTAGCATTTTGAGATTCGTTAAACTTTTGAAAATTACTAAATAAAGAATCATATGCAATTTCTTATTCATAATTTTAAATGATTGGTGTTAATAGTTTAAACAATATCATTTTCTTAATTTTTATTCTTGATTTATAATAATAATATTATTAATTCTTAAATATCATAAATACTGATTTCTATTGATTTGAGGGGTTTTGGGGTTTTGGGG